CACACGCACCATCCCACCAGGTTAGGATAATGACAGAGGTAGGGAAGGTTTTATACTGCAAATCAAAATTCGCCACACTAGGTTTGGGCAAAATTCAGATTTATATTAAATTCAATTTTAATCTGGATTAGGTTAGTGAATTACAGTTCTTGTTCTCGTTACGTTACATGAGCTTTACTTTGGGTTTTAGTGTGATATATCAGTATCATACATTGTAGGGATTCTCCAGCTTGTCATACATTGACCCCCAAAATAATACATAAATTCAGTAGACCCACACCCAGAACCTCCCACTCTGTTGGGCAGAGAAGTGTATTTTTTTAATGTACTGTTCCCTGTCTGCATCAGGCTGTACAATAACAGTAGTAGTCTAAGCCTCTTCGCACCTACTGGAGGCTGTAAAATGTTTCTGTACACTCATGGAAAGAAATTGCTTTGTATTCTGTTAACTGAGAATACATTTTGCAAACGCATCTTTTTTTTTTTTAAGTTCCTTGGAGTGGGTTGAGACTGAGTCCATTTGGTATGTCGGTCACTAACTGGCCCATTGTACAGGCCCAAGATGATATATAGTGAATGTGGAGCAGTTGTTTGAATGAGAATTGGCAGGGGAAACCGAAATATTTGGAGAAAACTTGTCCCAGTGCCACTTTGTCTATCACACATACCACATGACCTGATCTGGGCTGGAACCCGGGCCGCTGCAGTGGGAAGGCGTCGACTAACCGCCTGAGCTATGGCACATGTGCATACTACGTATTAGATACTACTAGCCAAACTGTGTGGATACAATCGCATTTTAAGTAATTCTTGAGAACTTGATGTCCCCTCTTAGACTAATTCACGGTCCGTCAGGGGTCACCATCGATAGCCTCCGAAACCATGATGTAAGGTATAATCGCCTTTTTTAATACAGAAAACATGGCCTATGCAAGTGTAGCAAACAACGTTACCATTATCTAGGTACCATCTCTGGAACATTGACAATCACACTAGTGTGTTTCTCAGGAGGTGATACTATGGTGCTGCAACCAATGAGCAAAAAGTTATACCAATTAGATTTCGGACATTTGGATCCCGATGCCTCAATGAAACATGAAGCCAATGTACATACACCATTATATTAAACGTGATAGCAGAAAACGGCAGGAGGTGCTGAATTGAACTGACCATTGTTTAGCGCCGAACACTAGGCGATATTTTTCATGACAACGCAAATCTGTACAAGTCTGCATTTGACCTGGTGGGTTGCCGCTTTGAGGAAGGCTGAATTAAGATAAACATGAATTACAGGTTATTAGGCATTTAGCTATGGGATCATTATTATTTCAATATATGATTTCCTGATTTCATTAAGTTGATGAAAAGCTCCATGACCTCTTTCTGCAGGTTTGCGGAATTAAGGATACAATTTTTCCAAACTGATTCATCGATAATCTTTATGACCTAGTTAGTTAATCTGTCAAAGTTCTCATTTTTAAAAGTCTTATTTATTTCTGCAGCATACAATTTCACTTGCGCCCACATGAGTTCAATAGGACATGTAAAAGCCAAAGTTATTCCTGGGCTTAATTAATTAAGCACCACACAATTAAGTCTCTTAGGGGAGAGGAGGTATAGTTTCACCATTCTTAACCTGGGCACTAAATGGGGGTGAGCAGCCAGCTGCAGACCCCCTGCCACTTAACCCCTTAGGAACCAGCACCTGGTACTCATTGCATAGGTGGTTGGGTGGGCCCTTGAGTTGGTCTAGACAGAGAAGAGAAAAGTCTCTTACACCTACTGGGAATCTAACCCGGATTCCTTGGTCGTCCAGCCTATAACCTAGTTGCTATGTGGACTTTTCTATCTTGTAATGTTCACCCAATTTTCATTTCTTTGATGGGACTGTATTTGTAGTGAAAATGCGGTAAACACTACTCTGAAACCGTGACTTCTTGCAACAGTGCTACCCAGTTCATACTTTCTACCATTGGCAAAAATTCAGAGTTTGTATGCATGACATATTCTGAATTTTCTGATGGGTAATCAATTTATAATATCATAATTTTACTGCTTGTAGATGGAGACCTTTTCAGTGCAGTGTAATAATGGATGGCATTATCCATACCAGTGACAGACTCCAGTGCATGGAACAGTAGGAGCTGGTCTTCAATATATTTTATAAATAATTTAGTGCTCCTCTCTCTGTGGTGGTTTGTATTACTGTCTAATTTAGGCTGAAAACTTGTATTACTTTGTGAAACAAAACTTCCCCTTTAGTTGATCCAGCCTGACATAATATGAGACTACTGCCTTTAAAAACTGGGACCTCTAGGCCAGCTTCACACTCACTCACCTTGTGGCAAGCATGCCTTTGATCCGCCTACATTGCACCTGTACGGTACATACGGTACCCCTACTTCTGTAAGTTTATGCATTGTTTTTATGAAAGTTGCTGTTATAGCTGCATTATTACTGCCTTTCATTAGAAATTTCTAGCTGTAATTAAATCTTGCACATTTAAAGTATATGAATTTCAAAATTCTTAACATTAATGCCTCACTACATCAAGTCCTATAGCTTTGTTCATTTTCATAATCAGTTTCTTAGCATGAAAACTTTCCCCTTTTGTTAGGGGGAGGGGGGGAATGAAACGGATTTTACTGCATATTCTATATTACTTAAATTATTTTTATTGCATATAATATACCTTATTATATTACACAGTCACATTACTTTAGCAGGTGACTTTCGGGAAAATTTAATTACAATTCATTACCACACATACAATGTTCTTACTGATTAATGCAGTCAGTGTTGTTAGAAAGCATACAGCAACATGACCTAGACCAGGATAGGTAATTTTTATCCAGCAGTAGTCTTAAATTTTACAATATAACATTTAAATCTCACATATGAGAAAAAGTTATTCCACATGTCTGTCAAAGTTTAAGAAAGAGTCACAACAAGGCCACAAGGTAATATTAACGATAATTTTACGTATGTGAACTGAACAGATGTCAGTGTAACTGTCTATTATCACACATACATTAAAAATCTTTAGGAACATGAATCTATTATCAGTAAACATTAGCAATAATCATTACAATAACATCCAATCCACCAAGTCTACTATATTAAAAATCTAAGGCATCAAGTCAACTACACTGAAAGTATATTTTACTACAAAGAAGAGTCTGCCTGTTACTACAAGTATGTACTATATCAGGGATGGAGAATCGTTGGCAATGACACTATAACTTGCACTATATGAGACTTCTGCTGGTACCAGTGACTGCAGATTCTGTCCACAGTATATCTCTTGCAGTCACTTAACAATATAACAGGATATATTCTTGCTGTTAATTTACGTACACCCAGTGCTTCTCTTCAGAAACATGTTTAGAGTACTCATATGCTCTCTTTTAGCATCAAGGTTGAAACATTCAATACACTGGCAGATGTAAAGCTTTTGGCCCTTGGCAAGTTTGCCAGTATGTATACTGGTGTGTACTGGATGAAACAAAGCAGTGTCCATCCCAGTTTCACAGAATATAGTTACTTAAAGAAATAGAGTTACAACAAAACACAACACTGTATTTTGCTCAATAGCCCCCCCCCCTGTTTTTTACTCTTTATTGCTCATTATCAATTTTTCCCATGTGTGAAATACATAAAATCAGATTTATGAAGTCATCTCACAAATGACATGAGTGAAGAATGTGTTGCTCTCAATATAATCAAACATGAGATTATGACCCATGAAATGAAGAACTGTCTTGAGATGTGGCACAGTAAATATCCTCCATGAAAGTACTGAAGCAACTAGAATTGCTGGTACCCTTTGGTACATGTAAGTAAGTAGCTTTAGATGTAAATCTGATAGCATACACAAAATGTTCATCATTCCTGTACTGTATGATATCTAGTGATAAATAATAATGCTGTAACACTTTCTGAAGTATCCAGTTATTGGTTTGGATTAAACATTTATGAACACAATAAATGTATCAACCATAAAACCTAAACTTAATGAAGCATACTGCCCACATCTAATCTGAGTAACAGGGGTGGCACTTGAACTTATTACAATGTATGTTAGGTGTTGATTTTATTGGAATATTAGAAGTTATGAACTTCAACTGTTTAAAAAACTGAAGTCAAAATTAAATTATAAAATAAAGAACATTATTTTGTACTGTATTTTTATGGTAAAAAATTCAGTTTATGTCTTGCTGAAAATGGTTAGCTTTAACAATGTCACACATGGACTAGTTTCAGAAAGTGATATACAATACATGTCAATGCAGTAACACAGTAGATACAATTCTCTTACTGCAGTCTTCAGCACAATATACTGTTAAAGGTTTTGGTATATTTATGTTAATTAATTTGCTAAGCAAGAAAAATATTTGTATAAAGTATACAGAATGAGATATCATCTGGTGAGGAGTATATTATTTCTCACTGTCATGGAGGACACCACTGTGCTTAAGTCTTGTCTCTGCCCCACTGCCAACTACATGCGGCTGTAGAATTGAGAAATACTGAACCATGTTAGGGAAGACAGTGGTACCCATCATGTTAGGCTGCAGAATGGCACCTAAGCCCACCATATCAATGAATATGGTAAATAAATAATCATCTAGTATATTTTTAGATGTTATGGTTCTGCAAAATATCAACTGGACTGTATGGACAAAACAAAAATGGCTAGATAATATCAATGAGAAGCAAGAGTAATTGTAAATCACATCATAGATTTTGCACACAGAAGTGCAGAAATCTTCATAACAGTTCTCCCAACTGTTAGGTGCTCCCATCACATAATATGTTATGTGAAAATATTCATGCATTTTAACATTAGAGAGGCGTTATTCTACAGTGCGTACAATCAAGTGCGCGCCGCGGCTGCAATTTGCCGTGAGTCATACCACCGCAGAACGGATGCAGTCATGGGGAGGAGTTGCAACTCCTTCCCGTGACTGCATCCGTTCTGCGGTGGTATGACTCACGGCAAATTGCAGCCGCAGCGCGCACTTGATTGTACGCACTGTATTTGCACTTGAAATAACTGTAAACTTTCTTCCAATGAATTTACTTTCATTTAAAAACATCACACCTCTACCTACTTCAAACAAGTCATAAGATGGCAAAAATAACAAAAACATTCAAACATCATTCAAAATAGGAAGAGACACTAATTTCATTTCACATAGTAAACAAGTGATACTGCCATCAAGGGTGGTGATTTGGGCTAAACATATTGGCTCAATATACTAGGAATGTATTAAACGTTCTTATCAAGCCATCTAAAATGCTATTGTCATACAAAATTGGGACTATTATTCTCTAGTAGAAGATCTCAAACCTTCAGATTTCATACTATTTTCCAAAGAGATTTCTGCTCATTCCACTATGACTTTTTCTAATTTTTCACTATATATATCTGACTTCAATAACTAGATAAGGCAGATACTCTTTTAGTATTGTCAATATTAGTTTAACTGGATGTGCAGAAGGACTAGAAACCATATCATTGCTTTTTATATTTTTGAATTCTAGAATATGATAATACTTGATAATTTGAAATAAGTTATTTTTACCTTTATAAGATGTAAAAACATATTAATTTAACACAACTACCTCAATGAATGTGTCAGACAATGCTAGATTCAACTCTGAAGCAACATTCATCTATATGCTCAGATATACTGTGTATTTATTAAAAAAAAACGCAGAATTCTGTAGTAAAACTACATATTGAAATTGTTGCTATGTTGTTATAATGGCAATTTTATATTATTATTTTCTTTCTCTTACAATTTAACATTCTAAAATTAAAGGTTGTATCTTTTCTTTTTAATGAACCAATATATTATACATACACTCAGTAACATGAACTGGAATCCTAGAAAATTTAAATGAAAAACATACTTGAAATATTTTGTAAGGCCATAGAATTAGAATTAAAATGTCTGCATAAAAATGTAGGCTCTATCACAGGAAAATCTTTTTATCTTTCCGTATCTAACTAATCATATTTCCTTATATGAAAGCTAGAATGTGGTAAGATTAAAAATATTTAAAAGGCACATGAGCTGACTGAATGTGTTTCCACACTATCAATAGATCTATAAAAATTCTCATGTCTTCATGTCATTCGCATGTTTACATTAAAAAATATTATTACACAACATGATTATAGGTGCTGTGATTTATGTAAATTTGAATGCTGCCATTATACGTCACTTCCAGCGAGTTTATTTCACGTCATTACATCAAATAGTGATCAAATACCACCTCGCCGAAATGGCATATAGTGTTACTGACTAGCTACATTTTTTATCTGTTATTCTATAACCCAATATGCTAAAATGCTGCAAGGTTACATTTTCGGTATCACAGTTTCTAGACTTTTATATAAGCTCATTAATGCACTATCACATGGTGGTGTCATTTACTTGAAAGATGACCTCATCGCTTATTTCGTCCTTTCATTGTAAAACGGCGCCAGAAGCTCGTCTTCTTATTGGCTGCAGAATCCGCCTCATACATTTCGTCATCGTCGTCGTAATCCGCAATTCTGCCACTAGATGATCCTCGCGTTGGCGAACCATGCCCTGAATCTTCGTCATCGTTGATAAACCTACCGCTTGGAGTGCTGTTAGTGTTGTTACTACTGCCGCCTCGTAGCATATCCAGAAAATTCGATTCAGCGGAAGCTTTTTTTCCAGTCTTCTGGGAGGGAGTTCCAAAGCTCAGACTTTGTATATTTATTTCTGCTTTCAATTGTTCTGGAGAAATGTCTTCAACTCTAAATTCATTAGGATCTTCCACAAAAGCTTGCTGTAAATCCCTCATTATCTTCTTTCGAATAGTTTTCTTCATTGAGAGGTGTCTTTCTAAGTGTTTTACATCCTTCTCTGTCAGAGTTCTCGAGTTATCACGTCTAGAACGTTGTTTTTTCTTTTTGTTGTTATTTGAAGTCTGGACTCTGGGGATTTCATCTTCGCTCGTTGAACCAACTGATATAGCACTATCGTTTCCAGCAGACGAAGACCCTGGTAGTTTATCTTTCCCACCATCATTTGACAGTTTCATATCATGAAATTTCGTTAGTGTCTGTTGTGTGATATCTTCATGATTGCGAGGAGTATGATTGTTGCTGTTCCAGTTGCCGTGGAGCGGAAAGATATCACGAAGATGCGGAATATTCCGTTCAGGTTGCTGTCGCGACATTTCAGCGATGTAAGAAAAGACGGCTTATCTGAAACAGATAAAATTAAGACTCAAATAAGTCAAAGTTTGCTCCACATATCAAAACTCGCCAAGAAAAATCATCTTGATTTCTGTTTTATATTGAATTCATCACGGAAAATACATGCATACTACAATAATCATCAGATATTATTCCTGCATCCTAAGGAAGTAACTGGTAATCTGCACAGGATTACGAACATCATAGCAAACACTAGAAGTAGAAAGAACGAAGAAGAAAAGGTTCTAAGAAAGACTTTCGTTTTCATCGCATAGATGATTAGGTTAGAACTGAAGCCCGATTTCTAGTCATTCACAGTCCCAAAGAAGCATCGGATAATTCCTAATATATTACATGAAAGAAAAACCTTTGTAACATATTCTCCTAATGCTTCGGTTTCATATGAACGAAAGCCAGGATTGCGAAAGGTGAATTTGGAAAGAAATGTCGTAACGAATTGTATGGTAGTATCCCAGCATCTTCTTTGGGGACCGAATAAGACCACAAAACCCTCAGTCATGAAGTTCGAAACAGAGACTTCGGAATACCAAGTATCCAGCTAAAATGGAGATGTAGGGGGGGAGGGGGGCAGAGTTGGCGAACTCCTTTTCTATAACATCTCTAGTAGTATATGGACGTGGTAATAATTTTAACAGCAGAAATTTCGCAAAGAGTTTTATTCTGCATTTGAGTGCTAGAATAACTACGCAGCTCAACTACGAAAAATGAACAGACAAAAGACAAATAAAGGGAAGCATACAACCATCACTCATATCTTCGCTTTTGTTAATTTTTCGAAAAATACCGCCGACAAAGAAGAAACCTGCTGGTATACAGTCCCATTAATTGAAAACTCGCAAATAATAGGAACAAAGAATCTGGAATTAATTAATTAGGAATCATTACATGTTCCGGGTATCATGTGCATAAAACTAGTGCGTAATAGTAGGCGATATACGTCTGGATGCTCATCTCTGAAATCACTGAAGAGATTCAAATTAAATTTGGAAATAGGAACTTAATCAAAAGTTTGTCTGCTGAATTAGTTTCCATTCATATTGGTTCAATACGATGTACGAGTACAAATCCGTACTTCATATAAAGCTGATATCGAACTTCAATGACTTTTCTTTTTAAGACTCACAAGAAAAGTTAGTAACGATAGGTTTAAATAGGTTTCATTTAAGATCTACAACTGAACTGAATTAGTTTTGGATTATTTAGCGCAAGACAAGGGAGATAATGCAGCGCATCGAAAATGTCATATTAGATTACTTTTGCGTCTGTAAATACACGTCAGAGCAAATAAGGTATGGAAAACAGCAAGAAATTAGAACACTTACTGCTCCGTTTTGTCGCTGGATAACATGATGCAAGTGACAAAAAATTCTGGGCTGACAAAAGAATATTCTTGTGTGGAAAATATTTCACTTCCGCTCCATTTAGATGTGTCTATTTGATATTACTGCATGCAGATCATGAGCCTGGATAGATCAGTCGATATAGCGACTAGACTGCGGGCTGGGTGGCCGAGAGGAGTAAGGGTTCTATTCCCGGGGGTGGTAAGAGATCTTTTTCTTCTCCATAACCTCCAGACCGGGCCTGGGGCCCACCCATTCTCTCATCCAGTAGATACCTGGAGCTGTTTCCTTGAGAATAAAGTGGCCAGGACGTGAAGCTGACCACTCACCTCCTTCTAATGCTGAGATTAAGAATGGTGGAGCTATGCCTTCACTCACGTATGTCTTCTTAGATGTCTTAGAGATAACTCTACCTTTACTTTTTACATGGAGATCATTGGATATTAACAAATGAAATGTAATGTTGCTTAGGTGAAGGCCGTGTAGTTTGGCACGAGCATACGATTCTGGAGAAAAAAGAAAATTCTTAAACGCAGCTGCATTAAAAACAGATGATTGAATAAGTTTATTTGCTATTTTCAGCCCAATAGCACATGGTAATGAATAGGCCTATCAGCATGATACATATTGTCAGGATTTTAGAGTGACTATAGATAAGTTTTGGATTAATGTCCGGATTTACTGGACTCTTTGATACAGCGTGCGACTACATTTTACAATTCACCGTTACACACGCAATGGTGTTCATAGTTACGTCTTCAATAGCCGTTACTCGGTAGCGGCTTCCAACGGCGGACATTCCCCTTCCCTTGGGTTCCCGAACTATCCCCGGCCTCAGCTGCCAGCTTCTCACAGTAACAGCTCACAACGACAGAACCTCAGTAGTTCTCTAACTGACTAATTCTGTCCCTCACCAGCCAACGCTTCAACTGACTTCACTTATGGTCAGTCAGTTTGTCTGTCTTGGTGTCGAGTCCCAGCTGGGGCTCATGACCAGATATTACTTTTTAAGTGAAAGTTACAGTCCAGTCCATGTGGGGCGCCCTCTCTAACAAGAGGTGGGGCCTGTCATTTGTCGGTATGACTTCACTTCACTAACTATCATGCTTGTAACATCTCGGCACGGACAGCACAGTAAACGCCGTCCTTCTGCTTTGTATCGAATTGCTGCCGTGGAAACACGCTTGTTTGTGAATCCGTTACTTAGTAAAGGCTGTTGTATATTTGCTTATGACGCGGTCGTTGCCCAGCAACAGGTCTACATGCCACAATATAGTTACAGCAAACTAAGAAGAAATACTAATTTCGCCGAGAGTCGCGTTCCTGGTTCGTATTCGGGAGATAACGGATTGAGATCATCGGCCAGAAACCAATTGCCCCGGTTGATGAGGCTTGTCATATTTTCACGCTCTCTGTGAACAAAGTGCACGTGACGGAGCTAGTTTTCTTTATCCGTTGCATTTTTAGATGACATTTGTTAGTGAGGGGCAGACAAAAAAAGAATGATGTCAGGCATGTTTCATACGTAATATGAGAAAAAATATCTTTGTCCACTGCAGGTTTTGTATCTTACTTACTTATGGAGCTGAGCCCTTCTTGAGGAGAAGCCAAATCTGCAGCTACTCAAGAATTTCCCAGCATTTTATGCAACCCGAAGGTTTTAAAAAAAATTAAATTCGCTTAGTGGGGGGTGGAGCCCAACTGGGTCCACTCGGCACGGCGGTCACTGATTGGCCTATTGTAGCCTGCCCCGGGTAATTATGATGGAGAATTTGGTGGAATGAAGATTTGCAGGGTAAACCGAAGTACTCGGAGAAAACCCGCCCGAGCGCCACTTTGTCCACCACAAATCCCACTTGACCAGACCCGGGATCGAACCCGGGCCGCCGCGGTGGGAAACCAGCGACTAGTTTTCTGTTTTACTTGCTTATGGAGCTGAGCCCTTCTTGAGGAGAAGCCAAATCTGCAGCTACTCAAGAATTTCCCAGCATTTTATGGAACCCGAAGGTTCATTACATTGTTCACAAGAACCTTCCACTGGTCCATATCCTGAGCCAGATCAATCCAATCCAAAGCAACCCATCCTATCCCTCTAAGATACAGGTTTTATATCAGCAATAAACAAATTCCAAGGTCAGTCTTGTATATGAAATGGCACAGAACATTTGGAAAATATGTATAGGCCCATCCTGGTTTCGGTACATTTTCCGCCTTTGTTCTAAGTCACTTCAAAATATTTCTGGAACAGCAGGCCACGAGAGGTTCATTCGTCGTCATTTCAGATCCATTAGTCAAAAGCATACTGTTGCTTGACGCTATTTACCTTAAGTAATTTTAAAGCTTCATTATAATCGTGTAAACCAAAAAAACAAACAAGAAAATATAAATTTCATAGACTGAATCAATTATCTTATAAATCCTCGCTTGAATAAGCAGAGTTTAAGACCAGACACAGGCTGACTAACTAGTTCCCCGTGGCTAGCTTTGCCTCTCCAAGTGAAAGTGAATGCACCTTCAGATAGGCGATGGCTGCCACCTTCCAAATTCTTTCTTCCTCAAATTGATGGATCTATATAAAACACAAGTTTTGTTTTTACGAGTATGTAGGTCTATGTTAGAGTAACGTCTGTAAAGAAAAGGAACTTCTGGAAAGTAAATCCTATTTCTGTTCCTGCACAGAACTCGACGGATACCAGAGAAATAATGCTCTATATTGTTTCGCAGTGCCATGGATCACGTATACAGATCATTAATTACCATCTGAGATGAAAAGGTAAGAGATATGAGCACGAACCGTAACGCTGTATATTTGTATTTCGGGCATAACCGGATTACCAAGTATCCTGACAGACTTTGAATTCCATTATTAGATTACGAAACCGGCGAAGTATTTTACTAATTCTTGTAGAAACAACAGATCATGAGATGGGCTCTGCTGCATAGTCTCAATACTGACAGTTTCGTCAAAATCCATCTTGAAAAATTCGTTGGATGAGAGTAGAACTCACAGAGGGCAAAACTCACAGTAAAATTTTTAATCGATACTTTCATCCTGGAAGTAAAATCGAAAGCTTGTGCGTCTGCCATGAAAGACATTCATGACCACGTGGCAAGGGGGGGGGGGTACAGCCAAAACTGTCTATGAATTTATAGAATGCATTTAGTTTGATCATATAGAAGCAGTTCATGGTTGAACCGGGGGCATGCGGTAGCGAGGTTGGTTGAGGCACTATGCTACAAGCCAGAAAGTGGTGGGTTCCAGTCCCGAGGAGGTGGATTTTTTCAATTGACCTAATCCTTCCAGCAGCATTATTTCCCTGGAGTCGACTCAGCCTCTAAAGGAAATGAGTACCAGGAATCTTCCTGGGGGGTAAATGGTGCCTGGCGCGTATGGCTGGCAACCTTACCGCCATCTGTTTGTCGATTGTCTAGATAATGTGGGACCCTCAAAGTCTCACAATCCTATGGGCCTCCATGGCCTGTTACAGGGAAAGGTTTTTCTTTTTCATGGATGAATTGTACAAATCGTCTTTCAATTATTGATATTAGTTGCACGTATAGCCATTTCGGTGCATAAACTGTTCATTTCATGCAGTAGCGACTAGTGGCCAGAACCGAAAACAATTTTTAAAATCTGAAGCTGTCATG